TCGCAGAGCTTTTCCCATATTACAAAAGCGCCGTCCCTGGGATTCGAACATGGGATCTTCCCATAACGTTTGGTGAGAGTGACAACTAGACCACTTCACTAAGTCGCCACACCTCTCAAATAGAAAATATTTTTCAGCATTAATAGATAGATTCGATTATATTATTGAATATTACAAATATAGAGATGATGAATGTATCTGTTGTAGAGTAAAAAGAATTTTTCATAAAGGTTCTAAAGCTTCTTTCAACAATCAAGAATTTGAGATAGAGTTTAATAACAAAGTAGATAAAAAATCAATAATTTCTATAACACAAGAAAAAAATAGATTACTTTTTAAAAAAAGTAACAGATACTATTGGCGTCCAGAGTTTAAATTTGATAGAACAAAATTTATTTTGACAGATTGTGAGAACTTCGATGGTATGGAAGCAGATATTATAGTTTATCCAGCAATTGTTGAAAAATTACATGCCAAAAATAGCAAAGAAATTGAAATAATTAACCATAAACAAAAATATAAAGAATTATTTGAATCTGATACTACAAAAAATAAAGAGGTTAATATGGATATAGAAGAAAACTGGAATCCACAAATTGAATCTAGCACATCTCATATTCAGGTTCAAGAAGAAGAATCAAGCAAAGAAGATTTATCAGATAATAATTCTGATGATTCAGATTATATACGTAAAAAAAAGAAAGGAAAAACAGTTGTTGATTCTGTTACTAAAAATTTAATAGCAGAAAAAGAATCTATAGATTTTGAACAAGCTAGAATTCAGTCAAATTACATAGAATTAAACAACAAATCACAAGATCCAGAAGAATTTTTGTCAGAATCAGAATTGTACGAATCAGATATTATACTTGATATCTCTGAAGATATGCCAAAAAATACTAAGAAATGTAAACAGATTGATGAAAATATTCATCAAAATTTTGAACAAAAAAACAAAGATAATCCTGAATTTAAACGGTTAAAAAGATTATTTAAGTAATTTATTTTTGTTATATATAAATAAATTATTGTATTAAAATTTTATAAATAAAATATGTCTTTTCCAAATATTAAACAAATCTATAAAGTTTTATTAAAAGAAAAAATATGTATTAATTATTTAATTTAAAATAATATTATTCAAACTCCTTCTCAATGTTCGTATTGTGGTGCAGAATTACATCAAAATAAAAAATTGTTTAGAT